TCTACCTAACCATCTACACTGCCTCACTCTACCTAACCATCTACACTGCCTCACTCTTCACCTAACCATCTCTTCCTCCTAACCATCTACACTGCCTACCTCCTACCTAACTACTCCACTGCCTCACTCTACCTAACTATCTACACTGCCTCACTCTCACTGCCTAACTATCTACACTGCCTCACTCTACCTAACCATCTACACTGCCTCACTCACTCTTACCTAACTATCTACACTGCCTCACTACCTACCATCTGCTTACCACCATCTACACTGCCTCACTCTACCTAACTATCTACCTCACTCTATCTAACCATCTACACTGCACTCTACTCCCTCTACCTGCCTCCCAACCTCTTACCTAACCATCTACACTGCCTCACTCTACCTAACCATCTACACTGCCTCATCTACACTGTACCCTATTCACTCTCACCTTACCTAACCATCTACACTGCCTCACTCTACCTAACCATCTACACTGCCTCACCTCTTACCTAACCATCTACACTGCCTCCTCACTCTCTAACTATCTACACTGCCTCACTCTTACCTAACCATCTACACTGCCTCACTCTTACCATCTACACTGCTCACTCTACTAACCATCTACACTGCCTCACTCTTACTGCCTCACCATCTACACTGCACTCTTACCTAACTATCTACCTATCTACACTGCCTCACTCTTACCTAACTATCTACACTTACTCTACCCAACCATCTACACTGCCTCACTCTACCTAACTATCTACACTCATCTACACTCTTACCTACCTATCTACACTGCACTCCTCTACCTATCTACACTGCCTCTCACTCTACCTAACCATCTACACTTACTCTACCCAACCATCTACACTGCCTCCACTACTATCTACACTGCCTCATACCTAACCTACACTCTCTACCTAAACCATCTACACTGCTATCTACACTGCTTATGCTCTCCTCTACCTCTTTACCTAACTATCTGCACTGCATCTACACTGCCTCACTCTACCTACACTGCCTCACCATCTACACCTAACCATCTACACTGCTACACTCACCTAACCTATCTACACTGCCCCCTCCTCATCTACCCTCATCTACACTGCCTCACTCTTACCTAACCATCTACACTGCCTCACTCTTACCTAACTATCTACACTGCCTCACTCTTACCTAACTATCTACACTACCTCACTCTTACCTAACTATCTACACTGCCTCACTCTTACCTAACTATCTACACTGCCTCACTCTTACCTAACTATCTACACTGCCTCACTCTTACCTATCTACACTGCCTCACTCTTACCTAACTATCTACACTGCCTCACTCTTACCTAACTATCTACACTGCCTCACTCTTACCTAACTATCTACACTGCCTCACTCTTACCTAAACATCTACGCTTGCCCATTAACTCCTACCTAACCCTCTTTGCTGCTCAAGTAACTGCTACCTCATCTTTTACACTACCCCATTTTCTCCTCAGGTCCTCTCTCTCTCTCTCACACACACACACACACACACACACACACTGGCATACATGGACAAATTGTAAAGGCATACATAAAAACGTACATATTGAGAAATACATGGACACATATGCATACTGTTTAGGCATGCATAAGAACGGAGAAAACGTCAGCGAGCCTATTGGCCCATACTGAGGCAGTCCCATTTACACCCAACCCTATCACTCACATATCCGTCCAACCTATGTTTGAAGCTACCCAGTGTGTTCGAGTTAATGATGATATTTGGTAACTTGTTCCACTTATCCACTACTCAATTTCCAAACCAGTATTTAACTATCATGTCATAATCTAAATTTGACTAATTTAAAAATATTGCTGAGTTCATTCCTGGTTGGATAATTTAAATACCTTTGTTATAATTTTCACCTTTGTTTAACCCTGACTTCCATTTTCACACCTCAATCATATGGCTGCACACACTACATTTCTCAAGGGAGTGCAAATTCAGATACTTTAATCTCTCTGAACTCAGGGTTCCTAATGTCCGGGATATAGAGGCACAGATACACAGACGCAGTCAAAAGTAATCATCCACCCCTCCTACTACCACACACGCAAGGTCAAGGCCTTTCTACACAACGGAACACAAAAAGGTGGGGGCGATATTGATGGGGGGAGAGCTAGGGGTGGGGGTGTGGGGTACGAGATGTTGGGTTCACACTCAGAATGGGATAGAGAAAGGAAACTCACAATGTGTTCTCTGTAGACATATTGTATTGGATGTACAATGCAGCTTGGTGCTGGGAAGGCAGCATGGTTACGAGCATTGAGTAGAGAGAGCTGATTGGTGAAGGTGCTCAGAGGAGGACCAGCTTGTGGGTCGCCATGCTCGCAGGCAGGAGCGAGGGCCGCCAGGCAGGAGGAGGAGGAGGTGTTGCTTGCTGGTTGGTGTAGGTAGAAAAGAGAGGTAGGCCACCACGAGGTCAGGTCTTATATAGCGGAGGTAGGCGTGGCTTAATAGTTGACCTCCGTCGTGTAAGGCGGCGCTGGTTGACCTAGACCACGAGGCATACACTGGGGAATTCGCGGGGTCGGCTAGCCAGCAACAAACAGCGTTTGTAGAGGAGGAATCCACTACAGGGGACCTGGGTAAGTAGGAGGGTGCAAGCCAAGGGCCACATATATACCGGTATGTATATAAGCCAAGGCCCGCATATGTATTTGTGGTCTTAGAATTATCCTTCACACCTGATGAAGGTATTAAAGTCGGTGGATGTAGCTTAACGTTGAAGGCCATAACCCCTACGCTTTGGGTCACATTATATTATGACGTGAGTCTATAGAGCTTCAGGTCACATCATATAACGTTTTGATCTTTTGCGGGCCTATTTAAATAAAATGGGTAGGCCTGCCTGGATTATGTTGCCAAGTAGGTATTTATCTTTCACTCACTCACACATGAGAGCCTCCCAGACTCTTCTCAGCTTTTGTGATGTATGAATCTCGCCCTTGGACTTGACTCATTTCACCATGTGTTTGTACCCCCTAACCCCCAAGCACAAGTCTAGTATTGCAAATGATTGTTAATAGTTTAAATAGTAATAACAGTAAAACAAGTGTCCTGCACCTCATACTGCCTACAAATTAATGTTATTTACCTCGTTACTCCTGCATCACACACACACACGCCACTTCATAAACATTCTCGACTCTTCCTAGCACGTGTTGCCAACCTGTGATAAGGACATGTATGTATTTTCTGTATGGTCAGTTTGTAAGACTTTTTTTTTTGTAAATGTTCCCAAATATACTGTACCTGCATGGGGGGTGGGGATACCGACCAGTTGATAGGCCTAAAGCCCAAGCAACCAACCAAGAGGGCAGGTGTCTGGGGAGGTGTCTTATGGACTTGACTTTCCCTTAGTTATCTATGTCTTTACTTGAGATTCTGAGGAGGACTGTAAGTGAGCTTTTGGCAGGTAATGTGTCATGAGGGAAAGCCCCTGATATGACAAAATAAGAGAGGAGGGGACGTGGCTTCCTCACCACCAGTGACACTAAACTAAACTAGGCTGTTACCACTCGCCACTACCATTTATGAAAAAAATATTCATTAAAAAAAATAAGAATGAATTGTTACTTGATCACTTCCAACTCTTGCCACAACTGTTCTTGAGAAAAAAATAAAAATTAACTGATGAAAAATTTATGAATGAATTGTTGGATAGAATGTGACTTTTCCATCCTGTAATGTGTATATTTTAGAGTTGTGAATATCAATGTGAGGTGATGAGGTGGTAGTGGCAATGGTGTTTGGCCACTGCTTCACACCCAGCCCAGAACGTCAACTGGTGAGTCGTGGCTGGCTATAACTTGTCAGAAATTGCAAGGGAAGTTGGGGTCACTGTGAGATGTTGATTTACCCACTGGGAGGAGTCTGGGAACTTAGGAAACCTGCCGTGGTGAGTAATTTTGATGGTTTGCTGGCACTTGATATAATGACTAATTTTGGGTGTGTAATGCAAACAAAACATATTTGAATTCTTAATTCTTATAAATTATATAATTTTAGGCTGGGGAGATCACGATTGACAGGCGAGGACATTGGGTAGGCTATTGAGATTTTGTGTTGACCAATATTAAAAATAAATGCAATTTCCACCCTCATATTCAATACTTCTCTTCATATCAACATTATTATAAATATCTAATTACCATTGTTTAAAACCTGAACAACAACCTAAAAGAATGATAAAAAAGAAATGGATGACACATTATAATTCTGCAATCATAAAATAAGGTTCCTCATCTATCACTCTTTTTCAAGCGTGTAAATCTAAGATAATATAGTGAGGAATTTTTTTTTTACATCCATCCTTCCCTTCCATGAATTTCCCTGCTTTCTTCAACCCCCCCTTCTCTGATGAGCTATTTGCACCACAGACAATCCTCCCACCTCCAACAAATGGCCCTCCCCCCAAGTCGACCATTCCCCTTCTCCACCCCACGTGACTTACCAACTAGAAAGGACCCAGCCAGGCAAGGGGTTAAGTGGTGGAGTGGATGATTACTTTTGATAGCAACTGTACAAGCACATGGATACACACTTGGGGTATAGCTCTGTGGAAGGGAGGTGAGGCACAGTGGGGTGATTCAACAATGTACTGTACTGTAGACTGGTTTGATCGAGTTGATAAGTTAACAACACAGTCAGTACACAAACTGGTTTTAGTGACTCAAGCTACTGTCATAACACCCAAATACAGTACGTACTGTATTTTACAAGAAAAAAAGGCAAAAAACATTCACAACATCTAACCAAGTAATTCTAGGTTAAATACAAATAATCCTATACAGTTTCATTGTTCTAGGTGAAATATTTTTTATGTAATCTATATTAACAATTATATGGGAGTAAGAAGAATAAATGGATAGACAGATAGAAGCAAATCATTACAGTATGCCCTTTGTATCTGCTGTGGGGGTATAAATATCTTTTAGAAACATGCAGTAGGAATAAAAATATATACTGGAGTCATGATATTATGTATTTTCATAAAAACAAGTTGATCCAGTAAAAAAAAAGTGGATCATGCAATTATGTTTTATTTCGCTTTAACGATGGTGATGTATTAAGACCACTCCCTCCCCCATCTATGATGTAAGCAATCCGCATGAACGATAGTCATTATCTGGTCAAAGTACTTTTCAGTCACACAAAAACATAAAAATTCACTTCAGTCACGAAAATATAGTACAATGTGAACATTAGTGATGTCCTCTGACTGCTGAATTACAGTATTGTATTGTAGTTACAATGTTTTGAACTTTTACTAATTTAGCTAATGTCACTTAATGTCCAGGGATCATGAGACTGAGGCTTTCAACTCATTAAACTGTTGACTGTACCCAAGTTGCCTGAGAAGTACTCATGCATAAATTTTAAATACCTGTACATATACAGAATCAAATTGCAGTACCTGTACATTTATTTATACAAATTTTCACTACACATTTCTTTTCTTTTTTAATGAACAGCATTAGATGATGTCTTCACCAAAAACTAAACTTTCTGATTTGAACCTTAATAAATTCCCAACACAGACATTAATTCTAAGTGTACAATATTTCTATATCAAATAAAAATTTTCTTTAACTTGTTTCAATATCAAATTATATTTTTCCTGAACTTAATGCAAGTTGTCTCATATAGTATCTATTTCTTTCTGTCACTGCACATCTTTCCTATTTTTGTCAAGAGGCCAAGCAGAGAAACTGAATGGAAACAGTTGGGAGTTAGTTTAACTTTCCCAAATGGGGCAGTTGTTGATCTTCATTACTTCTTTTAATCTTTGCTCAAATAAAAAAATCTAACTGATTTTGATTAGCTAAGCATTTCTCTAAGTTCAAACTTGTATCCTGTACAGTATTACAGGTACTTTTCAAGTTCTTGGCTTATGTGAAACACATAACTTTTCCTAAAAAAAAACCCTTGAAGAACACTCGTCCTCCTCGTTTCTCTTTCCGATTTTTATCTCTTTTCCATCTGATAAGGCAACTGTATCATCTTTTAAGAAAAATACTATTCAACTTTAAAAGATCATACAACCTTCTATGAAACTACAGTAATTAAGATACCTTTGCATGTGATTGATTAGTATTAACTTTTTCTCAACATACCGCTATTTTTTATATCTAAACCTAACTAATAATTCTTATATGCCTGAAACTAATTCTGAATATGTTAAGCTAATGGGATAAGTAAGTATTGTACTGTATAATTTTTTCTATCTCAAACATTTTATGTCTTCTTTGTTTTTTGTTAGTTTGAAATTCTTCAGCAAATAATGGCCAATGTTAAAATAAGTGAACTGGTCACTTATGTCAATACTCCAGACTATGTTAACCCTTCCCAAATGAGGATTACCAACCTTTACACAGAACATCACAATAAAGGTTGGCAGATTTAGTTTTTTTAATGTAGGAAAAAAAAAGACTCTACTTACGGTAACCAATATGGAAACTGGTTCAATTTACCGGTATATCCTTAATCCACAGTGGCCATTTACTGATCTATGTCAATAAAAAAGCAGTAAAATTTGACCCTTGATAATGTATGGGTAATAGTACTGTAATACTATAAATGTATGAGTGACAATAATGTCTTTTCTGCAAAACTGACAATGACACCGACATGTAGGGGCATCATTGTATTATCACCCAATGAGATTTTAATCTTTAACCAGAGCCAAGCAAGAATGTTACTACTTTATGTATGTGTTAAGCCAGTAACTGTCATATCAAGGTTTTAACTAGGCTTTAACCTTGTGATACCTACATACTGGTTCAATATAAAGTGGAAGACTGGTTAAATGTTGTATATAAAAGGCAAGTAAGAGTACAGTATAGAATTCACTATACTGTACAGTACAGTATTCCCAAATTCTCCTTTAAACATTAAAATTGCTTTGCATGCCCCAGTAAATATTCATTACAAAGAAGTATAGCTTCATCAAGGACATACCAATTTTTTCACCAGAGGCATTTTTGAAGCCTTAGTACTGTATGTTGAAAGACTTGAGGCTTAGAAGACATCTATCAATTGCAGCTCTTCTTTGCTAATGTGGTACATTTGAACCTTATTTACAGTATCTATCTGCCTTCATCTTAGAGCGACGATCAAGTAAAGCTTCATGAAGGGCACCCTCATTTCGCGCTCTTTTAAGTTCAGCCACACCGTCTTTGTTAATGCGTAGACGCTTATCTTGAAATTTCTGAAACTTCTTGACATAATTTTTTTCCACATCATTTAGCTTTCCACGCTCCTCTTCAGGTATTTCTTTTGGTTTGTCACATTCCCTAAAAGACATCAATAATATACAGTATAAGAGAATAGAAAATCAGTACCCCTCTGTATTAAGTATAAATTTCCTTATCAATTGTAAAAGGTTTATTATTTGTAGCTCATGTACCCATATCTCACTTGTGCACCCAATGTCTTAAACCTCATTATAAAGTCACTCTTATAACCAGTCTCTTTAGTATCCTCCACTCTTTCAATCCTGATGGTTGAAAATACAAAAACAAAAAGTCCATTTCTTCTTTACAGTACACTATTTTATAGTTTCTCCCCAGCCTATCCTAACTCGTAACATATCCACTTAGCGGTTAAGAAACTATTCAAACAAGAAAAAGTTTGTAAAAACATATGACTTAGCTTCTGTAAAATACTTTAACTAAACAAATAGAGGGATGCACACACAGATGCATACAAATTGGAAGAGGCAAACACTTAGTGTCCTTTGCCAATAGCACAATTAGAAACAGCATCAAATAAACAAGAAAACAACTAATGTAGCCAGTACAGTACTGTATACCCATTGCAAAGTTTGATGACTGGATCAAAGGGATTCAGGTTACTGTGGTGGTTTTTCCTTACCTTAAACTGTTGGAGCGTATGATTATCATCTGCTCAGGTCCTGCTTTCAAACACTTTGCCACCACATTATCCTCATCATCCAATCCAAGAAAGCATTCATTTGCTCCTAACAATGCTGTTTCTCCATCCTAAAAGAAATATATATAATAAAATAAAACACACAGCAAAAGCACTATAAATTCGATAACTACTGTACTCTATAGCTTTATGTCATGTTATCTGCATTCCGCTGCTAGCTATTGAATTGAATTGAATTGAATTGAAACAGTTTATTTAGCCAGAAAAACACAGATACAGAATGGATATTAATAACAATATTAACATGGCTGAGCCAGTTGAAAACCTGAACTATTAATTTAATGTTTCCAATAAGAATACAGTAAAAAAAAAAGCCTACAAAGTACAGTCACCTTTACTATTGCATTTACAGGAGCTCATCAGATTTTGTGCAATGTGGCAGCCCTGTGTTTATTTACATTCGACAGAAGGAAACTCGCAATAGTAAACATACTAGGGAATCAAAGTAAAACAATATTAAAATAAATATCTCAATGTAATGATTTGTGGAATGTTTAAACCCCTACGCCCCAGTTGACGTTCCGGAACGTCCATGTAGGGCGCTCCGGTTGACATTCCGGAGCGCGCGCCTTCTTGCGGCATTGTTTGAATGCCCAGCGCGGGTTATCAGGTTCCACTGTGACTATTTGCCTCTCAAGCCACACGTTCGGCCACAGGGAAGCTTCCTGAATGTAAGTCCCTAGTTTTGTTTGTTTCATTTTCATTGTTTGTCCATTTTATCATGTTGTATCAAATATTGCTAAAAGTAGTGTACAGTAGTTGTATTGTAGTGTAGTATTACTGGAAAATAATGCTATGATTATGTTATAAATATATTTATTTGAGGAATTATTATTCCGGTAATTATTTATATGCATTACTTGCTCTACCAAACACAAAGACAGCCAGACAGCCTGGCAACAGACTGCGTGTGTGTTGCTAAGCAATTTTTATGAAAAATAATGCAAATAAAATATTCTGAATGAATTATTTAAAGGAAATAAGTATTATGATCAGTAAATATATGCATTACGGGCCATCCTGGACACATAGGCAAGCAAAAAATGGCCGCTAAGTGCGTAGTGACCTCGAGTGCTAGCCGGCAAAACAACACTGTCCCCTTACCTCTCTCGCCACAGCAGCCCCAGGGAAGGTTCTAGATGGTCAATAAATAGTTTTTCTTACTTCTTTTTTATTGTTTTATCATTTAAAAAGGTTAAAAATTATTTTGGTTAAAGTTGATTTTTCTTGATTTACCCCGCATGGGGGATACGGCCAGCGGCACCATAGCCTGGGGCATAGGGGTTAAATGAAGAGCCCCTGTTGTAATGACTACGGTCGTACATGTTAGTTAACGTAAAATCAGACGATTCATATTAAGCTCAATAGCCCACAAAACATGTAGCTATGTCTTCTTTATTGAGTCTCCCATCTGAGGCGTCATTTTCTCATTGTTTCAGGACGTCTGAGTCCTCCGTTTTCCCTCACTCTTAGAGTGCACCCTAGACTTCGTTATTCCTTAGTATAACGACACAAAATTTGAAATTGCAACTGTAGTCGTATCTGTTAAGGCAACTTACATAAGTCTGATTACAGATGGAACATTCAAGATCCCTTGTGAATGATGTTGAAAGCTTCAACTGTCTTTATTGTTAGTAAAACTTGTCAAATAAATGAGTGTTGAGTCTGCCAGTACGAGTGGCATGTCCTTATATCGTCCTTGGGGATAGCCATGAGTTTCTAAGTACTACTGAAATTTGATTATTTTGATGCCCAAGCATCAGAGAATCTGATGTTTGTAGTTTAGTTAGTGTCAGTTGTCTATTTAAGTAAGTCATTAATCTCCTGAAAAGATTCTGTCAAACTCAAAATCTCCAAGACCTAACGGCTCACCATGACGAGTTCCTATTTGTAGTTTTGCGGTTTCCGGAAAAGTAGTGTTGTTAGTGTGTGTATTTGACGTCCATTTCACTTTCTATTGGCAAGCTCAATCTCTGCTTATACTGTATTATAAAAATAGACTTCACGTTCGTGACTCTTCCTCAACGCATCTCCAGGCATTGTCTGTGTTGTCACCACTACCGACTTTCGGTAGCCGCCTATGGGCAAGACGGTCCTTGAAGGATGTCTTTAATATGGCGAGATTAGAATCTGAGGACAGGAGCACCCAGAGAACACCGTGCGAAGGCACTGCATCGAGTCTACCCCGAGGGCTACTAGCGAACGAGCTTCGGCTGTTTGCGGAGTAAACAACCTCGGCGACCAGTGGACTCAGTCTTATCCGGTTCACTGATCTTGGTTATATGTATCGAGCAGTGTTAGTATCCATGATTGGGGATAATTAGCAGAAATATAGTTATCCCATGTTGAGTATTGAGTCCATGAATATTGGTATTACCAGTAATAACGTTTGTTATATGGGTTGTGAGTATTGTACATACTTCATGTGTACTACCAACTGAGTCCTACCTATTATTGTTGTACTTGATTGGGGATAATTAGCAGACATATAGTTATCCCATGTTCAGTATTGACCCATAAATATTGAGATGACCAGTAATAACGTTTGTTATGTGGGTTGTGGGTACATCCTTCATATGTACTACCAACTGAGTTCTAGTTAAAGTGCCATGTTGTTCAATCCGAAATAACATGATGTGCTAAATAATGTCTTAATTTTGGATATTGTCAAGTGTGTCATATAACCATCTGCATTGACAATGAAATAATATAATGATTGTTTAATATTGTAACCAAGAAGTGATGATCTATTTCGTTACTTGTAAAGTAAGACCTAAGTGGTCCAGTCTTGTCTGAGTGTACATAATTAACATCTTGTTCACTCCTTATGCTAATAAATACTGTATTGAATTAGTAAACAATGAGTACCACCGCTCTACCCCTTCTAACATGTGGTTCTCAGAAAATAACTATTGTAACTCCCGTGCCAAGAAGCTCGCTAGCACGCTACCTAACAGTTCAATGAGATATGTTATATTCTAATAAAAGTCTGGGTGGTGGCAGGCTACTGTTGTAAGTATAATAAGTCTTATAGTAAGAATGACATGGTTTTCCCAGACTAATCCATGGTATAGAATATAACTAAAGCAGGATAAAAAATTGAGAGAAAGTAAGGACATAAAATTCAGAAAATACAATACTGTAATATATGACAGAAGGAATAAAGAAAAGAAGATTAATAGAAAATATAGATATGAAGCAAGTATATAAGTATTGAAGAATAAATAGAATAAATATGAACTGAACAAGTCCCCTTACACTGTAAATGCACTAGTAAAGGGGACTGTACATACAATATTTTTTATAACAGTAACAAATAAATCAGATCAGTCCAGCAATACTCAAGCTGCCATCGCCTATAATCATGGAGTGCATGAAGAATCTGTCTCTAATATTTTAGCCACTAACCATCTAATTAATTTGAACTCTCATAACACAACAGCATGAATCAAAAACTTTCATAACATTTTGCTTGTTTTTTACCTGTATTAGGAAGTTAAGTGCTGAGGCCCAGATATTTAAGAATTTGTATGAAATATATGAGAAGTTATTCAGAAAGTACACAATAACATAAATGAAAAGTGAAAAGCAAAAGCAGACAGAAACTAGCAAAGACCAGTTGACCATAAGAGTCCAGAATGATCTATTGCCACAGACAAAATAAACCATACTGTAATTCCTCCAAATATAGAGGAAAAATACTGATCACTGAGCTCATCTGAGATCTTGTTGGATTACTTACACCTACAGTATGTACCAAATTTAATTGAAAACCATTTGAATTTGTTTGAGTTATAGTGTTCACAATATGAACCCCCCCCCCCAGCAATAAAGACCCAAATACAGTTGTACCCCACTTAACGCGGTCAATAGAACCCAGAGGGTCCCGCGTTAAGTGAAATCCGAGTAAAGTGAACAACAGAACATATGGGATTAATTCCAATAGAAACCAGCCCGACCCCCAAACTCCACTTTTTGAAGACACATAACTATGTTGTAGTAAAAATAACATCTTAATTTTATGATGGTACATGCACACAATTAATACTTAAGAGAAATAGAGAAATACAGTCGCCAAGTTAATGTCCATTCAAATAATGGACTCAACTCCCTCCCCTCTTCTCACACTACACTGCTGGCTCTTCCCTCTCTGAGAAATTTTTGGGGGAAAACCACTAAATTTTAATAAATAATACCTCAAACTAAAGTTAGGATAATACAATTGACATTGCTGGATTCCTTGTAAGACCAGGAATATTTTGAATATAAATGTCATATATTTTGCACAAAAGATAACATATTTACTAGAGAAAACATTTTATCTAAAATTTGTATGTCTAATGCAAAATATATGATGTTTATATTCAAAATGATCACCAAATTATAAGAATTCCAGCAATGTAAATTATATTCTGGCCGGGTAATTTGTATGAATTTTATGAGCTAAAACAGGCAGTCAGGCAGGGTGGCGGGTGGGGCGAATCTAAAAATAGCGTCTCGAGCCGGACACTCACCGCGTATATGTGGAAAAAATCCGTGTTAAGTGAAAGTTTAGCTCAGGCGAGGCACCGCGTATATGAAAAAACGCGTTAAGTGAAACCGCGTTAGGCGGGGTAATACTGTATACAAAAGAAGTCATTGAAAGAGAGCATGAAATGTGATACTGTATTATTACAGTAACCACATAGCACATAGAAAAATAACTACTGTACTAATAGGTGAGGGAAAATATTTCTCCCATGGAATTATATTTGTGAACCATCAAACTCAATTGCTGTACAATACTTTAAAAGTTAGTGCAAAATTAAACAAATGAAATGTGGCCTATAAAAACTTTTACAATTTTCAAACTCTGCCCAACCAATACATAACTGGGATTTACAAACATATCATTGACAGGTGTAATTTTTAACCTACCTGGAATACAGGTTGCCACATTTCTCGAGGACCAATTGCATCTGCACGACCTACAACCCGACCAGCTCCATCAACACCCAGGTATTTATTGTAACCTGATTTTAATGCAATACGATCATCACCAGCTGGTACTGCTGTTAATACTTCCTCTGGAGACGGACCATCACCTTCACATGTAAAAAAAAGTAATAATTACTGTAATACAATACAGTAAAGTACAGTAATTAAGAGAGGTAAGCTATTGCAGTCCACATCATACTGGCTGTAACACACATTAACACTAATCATACAGCAGTGAGAACCATAAGTTCAGCTAATTCTGAGAAAATTCATACAGTATTTCTAAAAAGTTGTTAAGATTTTTTTTTCTAGAAAAATCAGATACTATTCTTTTTTTCCAAACTTGGTTTAATTTAAAAGTTTTCAGTCAAATTCATTACATAATTCAGTATTGCAATGAATATATCAGAACCTGTAATGCATACAGGTAAATCAATGTAAAAAAATTCACCTGGGAGTACTGTACCAGGATTTGAACACAGATTACCAATGTTGGCAGTCAGGCATGTGCAAAGAAGATTGCTAGTGCAATAGTGCCATTCCCCCACTTGCCATTCTCCATCTCTACCCATTGCAATCATTGCCCCCAAAAAATGGAGATTAGAAGCAGTTGCCCTTCAAAGGCAAGACTAATTACAGCCAAGCTCAGTACCACTCACACCACTGCCATGTTACCATCTTGATTTTAAGGCTTATCTGGAATCCAGCATATTGCTTAGGGAATGTACTGGTATTTGAGCCACCTTGTTACCAGCTTTGGTGAAAAAAGAGGATTTCAAAATTTCATGAATTTAACCACATCATTGTGTTTTGGGGGTTTTAAAACAACTATATTTTAGAATAGCCAAGATAAATTTTTTTAACATTCTGGTGCACGAGATGATTTTTCCCATAAACCTTAACTTTTGGAATCTGTGGCTTTGTGTGTCCACAGGTACTGCCCACCCCCTATCTCCATGAACTCTAGGAGGTTAACTGTATGTGATAGTGAGTCATTACAGAAGACCTACAGCAAATACTGGATTGTAAATAGCAATGGACGAAGTTGTCTGAAAGGTGTTTTTACAGCAACTGAATCCTCCATCATGAAATTTAAAACTGTAGGTTGGTTGATTGACTGATTGATTAGGTAAAATATCTGGAGTCACAATCTGTTACCATCTGATGCTGAAAATTAATTAAAATTGTAGGTGATCACAGAATCCAATAAAAACACTAACATCACCAAGAATGAGGGACATAACTTTTAGTGTACTTACGGTAACTATGATTTAAGATATAATGATGCTTGTAAAATAACACTACTACTGTATACCAGTACTGTACCTTCATCATGTGGTGCACCAGCAGTAAACAGTCCATTATCAAGAGCTCGAACATAAACAGGTGATTTCCCCAACTGTATGGCCAATGCTCCTGTCATCTGTTAACAAAAATAAACATTAATGGAATACACAAACAAAAAAGCACAAAGCAGCTGAATCAAAATTGGCTACACAAAAAGGTAAACATGATGATGAGATAATTTGGGGAATTGAAAAAGTAAAAGTAGTAAATACCAGGTGCTGTACTGTACAGGAATAACTCCCTTAACCATACTCCTCAACCCTTATGTTGCCATAATATATTACTGTGTAATTAAATGACACAATAGTGCCAGCAAAAAAAAAAAAAAAAAAATCTTGCAGAAATCAACTGAGAATGGTCAAAACCTAAGTAAAACATAAAATTTTTACTTGCTGAGCATTGTCAATCCATTACAGGGGCCTCTTGAACGTGGCCTTGGTCCTTCACCATGGAAACAGCCCTTAGCTGTTAGCTCCTCCCGTCATAATACTTATTGCACTGCTGCCACATCATGCACCTTATATGTACATTGTATATACTGTACTATCGGCAACATTGTACAGTACAGTATGTTCTATTTTAAGCCCACTAAACATAACGGTATATTAATTGATAAGGCTGTTTCCCAGTGCTATAGGTAATGACCATTATAAGATGGGGTTAGGGACCTCAAAAAGCCACCCATAAGTGATCAATCATATACAGTATCAATACAGTATTATTAAATTATGGGGAAAAATAGATTCCATTCCTGAGACCTTGAAGAGCCCAAACAAATTTTATACCCTGCTGCTATAATGACTAAATAATGTCTAAATAACTCTAATAATTTATAAATACACGTAGACATAAAAACAGTAAATTTTTACAAAATAAAGATTTATATTCATTTACCTTACATGATATGCATGTATACAGTAGTACTGTACCAGTAAGTTGTGATCCCCCAATTGTCACTACTGTCCAAGTAATTTCAGTTAGACATGCATGTAATTTTCTTCCCCTTTTCTGAAAACTCTGTTTCATGCACAAAAATCTTCCATATAGAATGTGCAAGAAACTAAAAATTAATAAAATAAAATAAATTATTTTAATAAGGTAAAACACATAGAGGGAATACACATTTCTTGTGTGCATGGGACTTATCACAGAGCAGGGGTAGACATGTGTAATTTTCTTTTTTCTTACTTTTGGTTACATGGGAAGGGAAGGGGGGAGAGGGAGCAAAGTGAGGCATTGGGATCTCAGCCTTCCATTACTAGGCCAAGCTGTGAGCTTCATTATTATTATTTTTCAACTCCCATTTTCGGGTAGATTGTTTATTTATTTTTTATTTTTTTTTACTGTTATATGTGCACACAATCGTCTCACAGAATGTGCCAATAAATAAAAAATAAATAATTATAATAAGGTCAAAAACATAAAGGGAATACACATTTATTAAATATGCGGGATTTGACACATACAGGTATAGTGGGGGAGGCGAGTACGGCGTGGGGGATCTCGGCTCATCTTGTTATCCCGTGCGTAGTGACAAGATTGCCAAATGGCAATGCATATTTTTCTTTTCTTTTATTTATTGTTATTATTTTTATTTATTCCTCAAATTAACTGGTAGAGTAGATATTATTTTATGCACAAAGAATAGCTTCTTCCACATATAAACCATTCTCTGGGCTATGTGACAGTCCAGTGATATGAAATTTTGGTAAAAAAAAAAAAATCATCCTTCAACTAACTGCTTTCCAAGCCCATGTCCCAGAAAACAGCATTTTGAGGGATTTTAATTTTTTGGACCAAAATCCTTATCTTTCAAACATTTGCTTTGCAGGCTCATATCTGCTAGCAGGTGGGGGTGTCATGGTTGGAAGCCACTCTTTGTTGTCTGGTTCTCAGCAAATACATATGAAAAAAGTATGTCACTCTCACTGTCTTTTTTTTTAACATGATATGCATTTCTATATCCTCACTATAAACACACACAAACACACACAAGCATAATAATGAACTCGGATGGCCGATCCTGGGTCATGGATTTGTTTAAGGCGTAGAAGCTGTAGCCAACATAACAACCACACCCTAAGTTAACAATTTGCATGACCCACATGTCAAGGAATAGTCCGAGAAGACCAGACAACTAGCAAACTGCACTGGTTAACCATTACCCTGGAACACGACCTGCAAATAGATTAACTAGATTTCCAATTACTGCTGGGTAGACAGAGGCAAATGGTGTATAGAAGCTTGCCCACACTTTCACCCTGCCCAGGGATCGATCTTGGGTTCACTTACTTGTGAAGCGAGCATGCTGACCATTACATCACAAGTTACCTAACACACAAACATACGCACACACATATATACACACATACACACTTTGAGTCAGGCTCATACAAATGAGTGAGCTCTGCAGTCACTTCAGGGGTCAGGAATGGTTGCCTATGTGAAATGACATACAGGTGTATTGCATGCTTGCAAGTCATGCAATAATTGACACACAGTCCTGTGATGTGTGGCAGTGTTGCTGGGCTAAAAATGTTGTCAAAACATAAGCCTAGAGGTGCATGAAACACTTCATAAAAGCTACTTGCACTGTAATGCATGTGATGCCATGAGGTACCAGCCGACACCCAATGTTTACCACGGATACATATATCCGTGATTGACGCCCAACGGGTTAAACCATAATTACAAATATTATAATGTACTGTAATGTAATACCAAGAAGATATAATAACTTCATTGATGCTTCTGGTATATGATAATTAAACTAGTCTGGGAATCACTCAAGACTAATTAGTTTTGAAGGTCTTACATAAATTTTACTAACAAACACTAAATATTTGTATTGTAAAGATGAACCAAAATTTTTTAAAGATTTGAGAATACACTTCTTTACCTGGTGCAGAGTAGAGCAGAGCCACCAGCCACCATGATCAGCTGTGTCTGTGTCCTTACTGGTTTTGCTGCTGTGGCTACCATCCTCATCCTCTGATTTTCTCTTCTTGGATTTATGTTTCTTGTGTGAACTGTTAACATTGACCAAAGAAAGATAATGTGATAGGTAAATTCTTGTGTACAACATAAAATGATGGGACGTAATACGTTTATAAACTATACTGTTACTTAAGGGCATATGTATAGCTATTTAGAAGAATAATTACTGTACCTACTGGGTAAAAGTAATATTGTACTGTATTTAGCTAATCTTACTCCCCAGGAAGATGCCAGTCTATAATGTTACAGGAAATAGCATCAAGGTTCTTTTCATACTTATATCAATTATTTTCTTTCATATGGTGAAATACAGTATTGCATATTAGTATTCAAGAACACAGATGTCACAGAGTTTGTCTATTCAGTATTAAAAACTGGTAAAAGGAGCATTTTCGGATCACCTGAAGAATCATCGCCCCAGCTTATTTCACCTAAAGATTAAACCACCCTAAAACTATTTTGGGAGGATGAGGTTAGGTTAGGATATGTTAGGTTAGATTTAGGTTAGGATAGAATAGGTTTAGGTTAGGTTAAGTTAGCATTAAGGTAGTTAATCTTCAGGTGAAATAAGCTGGGGCGATGATTCTTCAGGTGATCCTCATTTTCTTTTTTAATTTTCCTCTGCAGTAGAATAAAGTATGTGCTCTCTTATAAAAACTATTTATGTAGCTTTATTTGGAACCACAATCTATTTAATGTTAAAATTTAAATAGGGTAGGATACTAAAGAATGACCTAATATTGTAGTGAAAAGTTGGACTAACCCCAGTTTGTGATTACATATGCATCAGTCTTCAGAAATTATAAAGGCTACAATTTGTTACTGTAACATTATGTAATGTGAAAAAATTTCCAGTACAGTACAGAGTAATGTACAGTACAGTATTATTAATATCAACATTCCAGTGCAGAAGAAGTTATCTTAGGTTTATTATACAGTACTGAAAATAAAATGCAAAGGGGACGAAGAAAGGGAGCTACCCTTTACTCGACAGAATTCTAATATACTGAGGAATGTAGAATGTTAGCCCATTTGGGTTTCCTTCACCCATAAAAATCTAAGTTCACGTTTTACTGTAGAAGATGAAGCTATAGGTAATATTTCCCAAATGTATTAAGAATACAGCTATATGTCACCCAAGGGCCAGCAAGACCTACAGTAAACCAGCTAGTAAGCTGACAAGTGATGAACAGGACAAGAAATTAAGGTACTGTACTGTAATACAGTATACTCTTGAACAAGCAACTTTTGAAATTTTTTCAATATGGAAGACTTCTTTCTTAACTCAAGAAAATCCTAAAATCATGAAGATTTGCAATCTTCATATTATTATTTTGGTGACTTTTTTCAGCCAGAACACTAATCTACGTCCTGCTGATGCAAATTTCGTTGTTTACATGACGACTTTTTCATATAGAGGTACACTTCCAACAGTTGTTACATTATACAATTTATCAGAGATATGATGAAACACCCTCACCTAACCTAACCTAGAATAAGTACAGTACTGTAGATCGGTATACGGTTATACTGTATCTCCGTTAGCCGGAATCGCTCAACCCGGGAACTCTCCGATAGCAAAAATTGAAAATTTCTCAGAAAATCGTCCCCATTTTCCGGCTTTGGGAACAATTTTCTGAGGGGCACATTTTCTGGAAAATTCAGATAAAATTTTCCCAGTTCCCCCAAAATTTCGGGGATGGGGAATATTTTTCCGGGCTTGAGATGAAAATCAGGCACATTTTCTGGAAATTAAGAGAAAACATTACCGGATCCCAAATAATTCCGGGGATGGGGGATATTTTTCCGAAGTTGAGAGATAGTGCAATGCGCAATTTCTGGAACTTCCGAGAATACTTTTCCGTTTCCCAAAACATTCCGGGGATGAGGGATTTTTTTCCGGTTTTGACAGATGAAATAATACATCCTTCAGGAACTTCCGAGAATATTTTTCCATTACCCAGAAAATTCCGGTCATATATACATTCCTCAACCCTTGAAAACTCTAGGAAACTGGTTTCTTTCAGAAAAATCGCACAAGTGAGGAACGCCTAAGAAATTAGATCAATAAATCTCCACCCGCCATTTCTTGTCCCACTGTGAGCTGTCTGGAGCCGTGAGGCGTGTCAGACTGCCTTGCAGGGGTTAGGTTAAGGTAGGTTAATTTAGTGAAAATTAGGGGTTCTAGATGTTTGGTTTCTGATGTATTTGAATGCATTTTGTTCAGATCTCACCTTCGTTTTTTATGGAAAATAGACGTTTTTTATTGAGGATAGCTTGCATTCTTTTTTTAAATGACACATTTCCCTTAGAAACTAAGGTCAGATCTGAACAAAACACATCAGAAATGAAATATCTCAAGAATAAATTCGAGGATGTGCTAAAACGAATAATTACCGTTTTTTTGTGGAGTTGAAAGCAGCTGCCTATACCGAATGGTTCATAAGCATACACTAAGCATCGACGTTGATCAGGCCCGAGCGGAGGAGTGTTTTGAAATACATCTATATGATTGGCTATATAAATCCGAGAAGACAAAATATTGTGCGCCTAGGTGCCGAATTACCTACCGAACGAAGCATTTGCGCAAGAAATGGTTATCATATCAGAACTCAATGATGAAAATTAAGTAAGAAAATAAACATCAAAACAAATGACTTGTCTGCGGGTCAGTCGTCAATGTTAACCCTAACCTCATATAACAAACTTAACCTAACCTAACCTAACCGACCAAGCCTAAAATGATTTTTTTCTCGAAATTTAAGCTTCCAAAATACAGTAATAGGGTAAAAATCCTCCCCAAATGTTTGAACAGACACTGGGAAGCTTGTTGACCTCGCCTCCCACATGTAATTAATTGCAAGTGAACACAACGGTAACATACAACTTATTCGTGCTCTTTTTGGACCTTTAATGCAGTAAGAAAGAATTTTATCTTTTCTGGTGATTTGCCCTACAGTTGGTAGTAACACAGCACCGCTTATTTCAGAATATGGTCATACTGTAGTTAATTCTCGTTAGAGTTTGTTCTCGGTAATGACTCTGGCCTCGTAAATCACTCCACTCATGTACGGTGAATAATTAACATAACTTCAAGAATTTCTGGATTAGTTTAATTATTAATATCTCCTGAATTTTACTGACCGTTTTTCTCCTTTCAGTTTTAACTTCCCTACTTTAACGTTGGTGTAATCAGACATTATAAAGAGATATGTGAGGCAGTTTACAGCCAGCCTCAGGCACCATAACAAACCTTTCTTCACACAGGTTTACAAAACATCATCATCCTTGTTTGATAATACTCTTTATCATCAATAAACATAATCTAATACAAATTATATTTAAATTTGTGTATTTTATTAATTAATTTAATTCAAATTTATACTTTATCAAACAAAAAATAATTTTAGACAACCTTTTTGTGAACCGGTATTATGAATTTATGTTGTATTACTTTAACTACTGTATTTGAGTCCCTAAGTCCCTTATTTATGTTATTTCATGTAATATACAACATGGTATTGTCTCTTCTTTTATTTAAGGAATATCATTGTTCGTGAATAAATAAATATATAAATGTATAAACAGACAATCATGTATATTTATGCAAAGGCTGCTAAGAATAGAAATTTATATAGCTTATGACAGAGTTAACGCTAAAGACAAGCTCGACGTCTAGATAACAACACGTTTTCTATGATGACCTTAAATATTTATGGTAAAATTTAATCGAGAGATGGTGCAGCAGTCAGAGGCTGAACTTTAAATGAATGTAGCACAAGTTTCTCTATATATTCTTTGAGTGAGCTGGCGACTGGCTGTTATGTGGTGATTCAATTTTCAGTATTTTTTTTATTAAGTTATTTAAACGCAAGCTTCTGTCGCTACTGTCCTCTGTGGTAAGTAAATTGGTATTATTGCGTTTTCACACGACACATTCCTACCACTAATCTATTATCATATTCGAAATATATATATATATATATATATATATATATATATATATATATATATATATATATATATATATATATATATATATATATATATATATATATATAGGCTATATATACTCACACACAGTTTATTCATCTATTTCTATTTTTCTCATTCTCCCTCTCTTCTCTCATCCTTGACCTTGGAGGACTGACGTCATAGATGGGAGGCTTCCCAGTCTATGGTCTGAGTCAATACAGGGGGAAGTACTAAAAAACTTTGTTGACTGCCTGTAAATATTCTATTGGCCAGCATTAAGGGTGCGCAGATTTTATAATCTAACTTCGTCAATTATTGATGATGAATAACTGCGGTAATGGTGTATAAATTGGCATGGGGTAATTTAATGTCAAAACACAACTCAGTTTTTAAAGTTTGTGTGAGTTCATTCACTCCCAACCCCTCTTTTTAAGGGGGACAAGAACATGTAACATTAAAGAGTATTTCACCGTCATTTATCGGTGTTTATTTTGATAAGCGTCATACTTGGAGGCCGCCGAAGCCTTAGTGTTTGATATATATTTTTAGCTGCAAGGTGTATTCTCAAGACCTAGTAAATGATGTCAAGTGTTTTAATTAATCTAACGTACGTGCTTAAGGATATACTATTATATGTCGAAGAGCACAAATACATAATTATAACCTAATTGTTACAAGAAAGTATTGTATGTCAACAAAATTTTTGATAGCTGTTGTCTGGTACAGAAACTGGCTTTGAGCTCTGTGTACAATGGATATATAGTATTTTTGTTAACTCTTAATAGCTTTTGTCTAATGACTGAACTAACTCCGTATACGGGCCTCACGACTTTAGTTTTTGTAGCACAAAATACATAAAGGTGTTACAATGTATCAGTACAACCATATACTCTACCATAAACTATGCATTGGTAATAGAGTATAGCATGTTGATGTTATAATGTATTACGGTGCTTTAACAACAGACATCTTTAAGCTCGTATTCTTGGTTAGTAAATGAACAAGTTATCTCTGGTTCTATTATGGTACAACCACAAAACACTTATGGGAGTCAACAGAACATACACTGTTTTAGACCGTGATGCTCAGTTTTGCTACATCACTAAAAAAATAAAGATTACGGAAATATCAAAGGAGTTAGAAAGTAATAGAACACGGTGCAAGACAGGCGCGGTAAGAGACAGACAAAAGCTAAAGTGGTTGGGGGAATGGCTGCAAAGATTCAGGATAAAAGTAATGTCACGAAGTGTAAAATGATGTACCTGGGTCGCACCAATAGTAAGGAGGCGTATCACATGCCCCAACAGGACGAAGAAACTGCATTGAGACCGAATGTGAAAAGGACCTGGGTGTGTATGTCGACAATGAACTTTAATTCTCGGGCCATTGCTGTGAGAAGAAGGTGAATCAGGCAACGAAACTAGTAGGTCTTATAAGAAGTTCGTTTAGATATCTGGATGGTCCTTTGCTCGTCACGATCTTCAAGAGTGAGGTGCTTCCCCGCCTGGAGTACTGTCACCCTGTCTGGTCCCCGAGGTATGCTAGACATTGTCAATTGATTGAAAATGTCCAAAGGAGGGCCACCAGACTGGTGCCTGCTCTACGGAACCTCAGTTACCAAAAGAGATTGGAGCGCCTGCAACTACCTAGCTTATACTACAGACGGGCGAGGAGCGACCTAATCGGAGTGTATAAACATCTCAGGGGGCACTACTCGGTCGAATGTACATACCTGGAGCTGGCGGACGCCAGCCCCACAAGGGTCACAGCTCAAGGTTGAAGAAGCCACAAGTCCAGAAAACTGTGATGGCAATTTTTTTCTGAGTGAGAATTGTGAACACTTGGAACAATCTGCCGAAGAGCGTTGTGACGGCACCGAGTGTGAGCTCCTTCAAGGCCAGACTTGACCAGCAATGGAGCCGGTTCCGATATATTCAGGAGTCAGTGCATGTCCAGTATCTGCCAACAGTGCGTATCAGAGACGTGACCGATCGCCCAAGCGGCGAAAGAGCCGATCAGTGGCGAAGAGGTTAAAATTAAAGTAAAGCAATAAGCATACTGTAAGGCGCATGGACCGGACGGAATACCCCCTCGTGTTCTGAGGGAGTGTGCTGAAGCTCTGGCCCCTATGCTTGCTCGCCTCTTTCGCCTTTGCCTCAAAACCCAAACTTTTCCTTCTTCTTGGAAGCATGCCTTGTTTCAGCTCATCCCAAAAAAGGGTGCCCATTCTAAAACCTCTAACTATCGCCCCTTGCCCGAACTTCATCCCTCTCTTAAGATTTTCGAAACTATCTTGAACTCCCATTTTCTCCGTCACCTTGAACGCTTTTCTCTTTCGTCGGATCACCAGTATGGCTTTCGTCAGGCGAGATCTACTGGTGATCTGCTCTCCTACTGCACCCATCTTTGGTCATCCTCTCTTAGGGATTATGGGGAAACTTTCGTTGTGGCCCTCGACATCTCCAAAGCGTTTGACAGGGTATGGCACAAGTCTTTTCTTTCTAGACTTCCCTTTTATGGTTTCTCTCCCTTACTTTGTTTTATAATCTCTAGCTTCCTTGAGAACCGATCCATGGCAGTTGTTGTCGAGGGATCGATCTCTCGCTCTTTCTCTACCAATAGTGGTGTCCCACAGGGTTCTGTTCTTTCACCTACTCTCTTCCTTCTTTTTATCAATGATTTACTTCACACAACTAATTCTATCCATTCTTACGCTAATGTTTCTACTCTTCACTCTTCTTCACATTTTCCCTTTTCCCCTAACTCTCAAACTAGATCTGTTTCTAGAGCTGATATCATTACATCTATCAATGCAGATCTGTGCAGCATCTCCGAATGGGGAGATAGAAACTTGGTTAAATTCAATAGTAATAAAACTCAGTTTTTACCAATTACACTTTCCAAATTAGATGATCTCCCACCAATCACATTTCAGAACGCTGTCATTCTGCCAAATTCTAAAATATATATATGCTAGGCCTCATCATTTTCTCTAATATGTCATGGAAGCCACACATCCTCAACATTGCTAAAGCTGCCTCCCGAAAGTTGAGAATGCTGTACAGATGCCGTAGCTACTTTACTCCTAAGCAGCTGCTTCAAGTATATAAGGGATTCAATCGTCCTAACTTGGAGTACTGCTCTCATATCTGGGGTGGCTCATCTTCTATCCAACTGTTAGATAGGGTAGAAGCAAAGGCATTTTGTCTTATTAACTCTCCTCCTTTAGTTGATAATCTCTCTTACCTTCCTCTTCACCGCAAAGTTGCTTCACTCTCTCTCTCTTTTACAAGTACTTTAACGGGCAATGTTCGGTGGATCTGGCATCCTGTGTACCGTGGGCTCGTAACACTCGTCTTGCCCGCGGTGCCCACCGTTTCTCTGTGGATGTCGGTCACACTAGAATAACCCGTTATAGTGCATCCTTCTTTCCTCACACAGCCAAACTGTGGAATGCTCTGCCTTCTTCTGTGTTTCCATAATTATACAATCTGTTTCACTCTAAAAAGCTGGTTTTCTGGCATCTTCGCGGTGTAGATTAATATAACAATTTCCTTTTCCATTTTTAATTTCTTTCTTTTTTTTTCCCCCCCCCCCCCCAGGCCCCGTTGTGGGTCGTTGACCTGTACCCATACATATAAGAAATTATTTATAGTTTTACTCCCTGGAGGTCTATGTTCCATCCAAGAATAAATATATTTCTTTAAGGCTCTTGTACTTCTTTATAGGGAAAAACTTGGATTTCTTTTATTACCTGTATCATATTTATCGGTGTTCAATGATGTTACTTCCAGATTGGTGATACTCTAAAGTCTCACATTTTCACCAAGCCCAGAAACCTGCTCTCAAGGCCAACTAATAAGAATAGCCTTGTCTGACAAAACTTTGTTGTGTCATTAATTAGTTTAATTTACTTTTCGTCTTCTGCGTTAAGGATTTCCTCATCATGATTCGTACTTCGGTTCTGGATGTGTCTAATATTAACGTTTATCAACTCTTTCAGAGATTATTTGAGGCGCTCCAGGTAAGGAGGGGTGAATTAACCAACTTAGACCTAACTGATGCCAAAAAAATATGTATACAGTTGTCTGAAAGTACACTGAATTTCCTATTATTTGAAACCAGTTTCATTCATTTCGCTTGGTGCGTTACAGAGAAACACACTATCTAAATTGCGCGAAACAAAACCGCTCAGATCTCGAAACATGATTCTGGTTGATCTGCCCCTCTTACCCTCATGCATACCACATTAAAATATAGGAAGATTATAATAATTTAACGAACAAGGAACTTCATATTAAGAAAAGCAAATAACATGTTAGATATTATTTATAGGGAAAATAATCTTAACAACCAAACAGTTAACAGCACCCTGCTGATGATACTAAAGTAATATCATCGACGTTTCTATAATGAAGTCACTACACAGTCTCCTTTCTCAAGGCCTTCATCAATATGCCACACTCACGCTCTTTGCCAACACGCACAACCTGGGCGTCTTTCTCATTTTGTACTTGAAGAGGGTTTCCAGGCTATCTCTCAATAATTTCTGAAGTCCATTAAACAACGAATCTACGGTTTAGACATCAGAAAGTCTACTACCAACATATAATGTTTTTCTTTTACACAAAACCAGAAACTCAAGGCCGGAGACTACGTAAACTGATTGAATCGAATATTTACGTGCACACTCCATTCAGGTTTGGTGAGGGGCATTGTTGGAAGTTGTAGCATATTTGCGGTACTCGGTCATAACCTGCTGGGCAGTGAAGGCACAGAGCGGGTAGTTGGTGGGGCAGGGGTGTCCCTCCTGGCCGTGCCACGCTGCTTCGTCGTAGTCCCCATAGATGGTGTCGTCACTCTCACCCGCACCCCTGCAACATAAATATTTTCAATCCTATATTAATAATATCAACAAAGTATTTCCTCTCCCATTGTTGAATGCAGAGTATCACTATTGCAGACAGCAATTATGTATTAAACTTTGAATATTTGATTATACTGTAGAAGTAACACTCCATGAACGATATAATATCCAGAACAAGGGTATGATTTAATGCCTCGAGACATATACTGACCGGTATGGAAGGAGAATTTGAATCTCGTCCTCAACCAGGTTCCTTGGGTCCTTCTGGGCCAATTCACAGACTAGCCGCAGCCCACACTGATCCTTGTCCTGCGACGCGATCTGTAGTGTGACAATGATGACAAAAGTAAAGGTATTTTTCTTAGGATGAAAATAGCATAGTTATTGTATATTTCTCTTTGAACGACTGGTACAAAACACATTTAATAAGCTTGTATACCTGACACTAGGTCACACCCTCACCTTGGCGTAGGTCTCTATGATTTGGGGATCTGATACAAAGTCTTCAATGTCCCTTCGGCGGCGTCGTCCGTAGTAGCTGCCTCCACACCACCCACAGGAGCCTCCACAGCCACCACAGCCGCAGTTATAACATCCGCCTCCGTTGTGATGACGGCGCCCAGCGATGTACCCCTGGAGTCACGAAAGATTATAAAGCCGCCATATAATTTACTGATCTATCAAATGGCATTAAAGTGTGGTATAATTAATTATTCTTAACAGGTACTAGCATACTACTGACCCCAGCGAAGGCGAGAGTTCCCACGGCGAGGTAGGGGTGACGATGGTGGTGATGGTGGTGATGACGAGGATATGGCTCAGCGATGCTGTTCTCCACCAACACCACCATCACTGCTAGCATTAAGATTGTCCACATCTGTTGACGAAGGTAAAATTATCAATACAATTCAGCAGCCTCTATGTTGTTGTGCCATCAAACAGATGAAAATAACAAAGCCTCAGGGCCTGATGGAATCCCAGCCGAGGTGTCTAAAGCAGGAGGACCTCCACTCTCTCCTGGAGAATATATGGGAAAAGGAGGAAATCCCCCAAGCTCTTAAAGACGCCTTTATCGTCAATAATTATAAGAACAAGGGAGACCGGTCAGACTGTGGAAACTACCGTGGGATCTCGTTCCTGTCCGTAGCTGGCAAGATTATTGCCCGAGTCCTCCTAAACAGACTTCTTCCTGAGGCGGAAAACTTCCTCCCAGATTCTCTATGTAGCACCACTGACAAGATCTTTGCTGCCCTCCAGATACAGGAAAACTGCAGAGAACAGCGTCGTGACCTGTATATGGCTTTCATCGACCTAACCAAGGCCTTCGACTCGGTCAACAGGGAACCCCTCTGGTGGACCCTCAGCCATTTTGGCTGCCCCCCAAAATTCATTGCCATTGTGAGGCAACTGCAGGATGGCATGAACGGCAGTGCCCTGCACAATGGCACCCAGTCTGAGATGTTCTACATTCAAACGGGGGTTAAACAAGGGTATGTATTGGCACCAACTCTCTTTTCCATTTTCTTGGCTGCCTTCCTTACTCGTGCCAGTGCCAATTTAACCGGCGGGATGGACATCGAGTACCAGATGAAGGGTCTTTTCAACATACAACGACTCTAGTCAAGAACAAAGGTGTCGGCAGCTTCCATTACTAAACTTCAGTATGCAGACGACCTCACCCTTGTTGCTCACACTGAACGCAACCTACAGATCCTGAACACCTACGCAGATGCGCATGCACACTTCAGCCTTGAGGTGAATGTATGTAAGACTCAGATTCTCTTTCAACCTGCTCCTGGTTCAGACACACCTCCATCATCCATCCAGCTTAACGGTACTACTCTCTCTAATGTTACCCGCTTTCGGTATCTCGGCTCCCACTTGTCCACCACCGCTGACACCGATGAAGAGATTCTGCATCGGATCAGATGTGCATCTCAAGCCTTTGGCAAACTCCGAAACCGTGTCATCAGCTGTAGGGGGCTGAAATTATCTGCAAAGTTACACGTATATCGAGCAGTGGTCCTCCCACCCTGCTATATGGCAGCGAGACATGGGTCACATACAGGAGGCACCTCAAGGCACTAGCAAACTTTCACCAACGTAGTCTGCATTCCATCCTCCGAGTTCGCTGGGAAGACAAGAGAACAAATGCCAGTATTCTCGTTGACACCAACTGCAGGAGCATCGAGGCTACCATTATCTATGAACAACTCCGCTGGACTGACAGTGTTACCCGCATGGACGACAGTAGACCGCCAAAGCAGCTACTTTACAGTCACCTTACGAATAGTAAACGTAACGCCGGCAGGCAACTGAAAAAGGTATAAGGATAGTCTTAAGACAAACTTGAAAAGTGCCATATCGACCCCCTCACCTGGGAGACGATTACTTCACACCGTAACGCTTGAAGGAGTACCACTCGAGAAGGTGTCAATACTTTCGAGTTAGCCCGACTGCAAACCGAGGCAAACAAGCGCCAACGCCGGAAAGACGCTATCACCACCCCGCGGCTCCCGCACTCGGTGCAGCTCTCCACACGTGCAGCATCTCTGAACAACTCTGCCGGTCCCGTATTGGCCACTTTAGTCACCTCAAAACTCACCAATGAAGGTGACATCCCTAATAACTCATATCATTGTATCATAGTTGGATGACCGTTATACTCGATTCCGAGTGACAACAAAGTAGTAGTAGTAGTAGTAGTAGTGTACTGTAAATGTATTTGTCTTGACAAATAAGGTTTTCAAGTACGTACACTAAATAATGTTATACCCTTGACAACAATTCTTTTTAAATTTAATTATAGTATAGGGGCAGTGCACTTGAGGATATATCTATACTTATTTTAGTATATTTTATATAGTACTATAATTTTAGTTGCATTTTGTGTTACGCAATTGTATGTGTTAGGTCACTCAACATTCAGAACATGAGTCTAGAGATATGAGGACGTTATGAATTACTGGGTATGAATCTTTTTGACAGTGACCAATAAGTTTACTTGCATAGGCCGACTTTTCTTCAAAGGGTAATTGACTTAAATTCGAAACTGGATTTTTCAACCCCAATTTGCAAATTGTCGTAGAGAGCTGTATGGACGGGGTGGTTGAAAATTTGAACAGGCCTGATTACATATAACTGAATATTCATGCATCTACCGTAAATACCTTTGCAAGAAACCCAGAGTTGCAAAAGTACTCATGTTAAAAAATAAATATCTTTAAAATGCAATATAATAATTATTCAAAAAATCCTATACAAGTTATAATAATAAACGAGCAACATTCTCTCACCGTCCAGGATGGTACTGTAAGTAAGACTCAGCCCAGCAGGGGATCCATCGTTCTTATATGTCTCTGAACTGTAGAAAACCCCCCACCCCCAAGTCCACAAAAATTTCTCCCTTACCTCCCGTTTGTTGACTCAATGAAAAAGATATTTACACGATGCCGGTTGTCACTAGACAACTATCATGAGTCATGATAGTTATCATTGACGTAGCATTATATCTCCTGCAATAAATTACTACCCATAATAATATAGATTTTGAGAGACTGCTTTTGCAGTTATAATGTTGTCATACCAATTTGATTTTAAACAAATAAAACCAAATACAGACAAAATAAAATTGTCCTGGGAAAATGTGTTTAAAGAGAGTTTGCCATGTATTTACTTTATATTCTGAATAAGGAAACGGCAAGTCTTTCTGCAGAGGCGTGCGTCACTGACCCGATGTGAAAAAATTTGCTGGGTATTCTGTGCAGTCCCACAAGTCATGCCAAGGTACCGTTTTCTCTCCAGAGGTGAGTTGCCAGGTTGTTGATGGACGATAAGAGTTGTGTGTCAGGTTGTTAACTGGTCGATACGTGGTGTTGGATGTGATTGAGATATTTTTTTTATTTTTGTTTTTTGAGGAACCATATCCATGATTAAACTTACCTTGTTTTATTCAGTAAAATCACCATACAACTTTGCATTGACTCAACATATTTATAGGCAGTGCAGGTACACATTATACTTATAGTGCAGATATATAAAAACGTACCTTGACGGGTATGCAAACAATGGCACACGGTAAGGCGGCAAAAAGCCAGGTGTTTAAGATCGTAGATATAAAAAAATAAATAAAAAATATATAATTATAATTAAAATAAAAAGTTGCCTCTTTTTAGATACTTACTTTAATGACAGAACATATGGAAAAACGAAATCGAATAACTCCATGGGGTAACGGTTTCCTCACAAATTACCGGCTTTTTATATACAATACCTTGTGTATGGGTGTCGTTGATGCTATAATGTATTACTGCGTTTTGACAACTAAGGTCTTTAAATGCCCCCTAGACCTTGATGTGGGTCATTAAAAATTACCTATGCCCGGGTGGACTAATGCCCATATAAAAAAAATCGGTTTTGATTAATAATTTTCACAACTTATGTTACTAGGCGGTCGCTCGCCTCTCAGTCTCGACTTTCATTATCCATTGTTCCATAGAGAATATTACAGTAGTTAAATGGTTATATTCACTACAAAGATCAGTGAAGTCAAAGGTTTGCATATAGAGAAAAAGACGGAGATTTTTTATCCCCAACACCATTTTCGCCATGACTGACTGAGAGGGTCCAGAGGGACTGCAGTTCCGTAAAGGGACATCAAGAGAGAGTAAAACTGTGCAGTACTCTAGTTACATGGGAAAAGTGAAATCCTGTTCAAATAGAAATGCAGAAAGTTAGTGGTAAGTTATGCTGATGCTATAAAAACAACTTTCTAGCTGACACCCGCGCCTTTAAAACCGTACACAGACAAGAGATAAGAAAGCAGGCATATTTGCTAAGCCTTAGTCATCATGAATATCTGAGAAAACGTAATTTATTGCATATGCTTGTTTCCTTTAGGCCCATATAATATTTCTGGACATACCAAGGATAATCGATATGATCCAACTACCAGCAATGAGTCTCATTAATGAAACCTGTATCGTCGGTATGTATAAAAGGTATGGGGAGAGGAGACCCATGTCATGAATTAAAAAAGGGATAGAAGCAAGTCAAGTGTAAATAAAGACCTATAATAATTTGTATACGCTTGATATAGGTAAAACTAAAATACAGAAGTAATCCTCAAGGTATTTATTTTAATACTAGATCAATATACCGAACCACTCTCGTCGAGCGTTAATGACATCATTAAGCCTTTTGAGGGTGAAACTGGCAAGATTTAAGCATATATCAGGGTGGATACAGATGCTGTCCCACATGTCCTGAACATTCAGCTCAATGGTAACTACTGTATATGGTGCGCTCCTTGCCAATATCCCGGTCCCGACCCTTACCTAACATAACATAACAAGAACTGACCTAACCCAACCCAACCCCAGTAATACTAATATTAATATATTTGGACTGAACTGTTCATGAAAAATAAATAAATAAATTCTATCGATACTAGTTTGATATAACTGAACGTATCCAAACATAATGTAACCTAACATAACTTAATCTAACCTAACCCAAATATATGAAAATAAATAAAATTGGACCTAACTTAAATAAGCAAATAAAAGTGAATTTACTTATCATATGTTTCAATTAACTGTACATACCTGAACGTTTTTTTATACTTTTATTTATTTATTTACTTTTTTCGGGCATTAGCCCGCTTGGGCACAGGTCACTGACCCACATCAGGGTCTGGGGGGGATGATATTATTATTATTATTATTATTATTATTATTATTATTATTATTATTATTAATTATTATTATTATTAATTATTATTATTATTATTATTATTATTATTATCTTTATTATTAGTATTATTTTTATTATTATTATTATAATAATAATAATAATGATAATAATAATAATAATATTAATACAGGGTAATAATAACAATAATAATAATAATAATAATTAATAGAAATAAATAAAAAATAAAAAAAAAATAAAAATATATATGTATGTTATGTTGTGTTGTAAACTAAGAGAAACAATCAAGACCCTGCAATTGTGTGTAAATAAGGCAAAATGTCATATCAGGAACCTGGGACTTGGTCACAATTTGCATTATGCCATAGGGCTGCAGTCTACCATTAGTCAACACATTAGGCTGGACATCCATTTGTAAGTGATCCGTGTCCGTGAAAAATTGAGTTTTGGGGAAAAGGTTGAGCAGCACCCATTGATCATGTAGTGGATTTCTCCCCTACAAACGCTGTTTGTCGCTGAGTAGCCGACCCCGCAAATTCCTCAGTGTATGCCTCGTAGTCTAGGTCAACCAGCGCCGCCTTACATAGCGGAGGTCAACTATTAAGCCACGCTTACCTCCGCTATATAAGACCTGACCTCGTGGTGACCTGTCTTTTCTAGCTACAGCCGCAGCAAGCAACACCTCCTCCTCCGTCGCTGCCTGGCAGCCCTCGCTCCCGCCGGCGAGCTTGGCGACCCACAAGCTGTCCTCCTCTGAGCATCCTCACCAACCAGCTCTCTTTACATCACGCTTGTAACCACGCTGCCACTTCCCAGCACCAAGCTGCACTGTACATCCAATACAATATGTATACAGAGAGCACATTGTGAGTTTCCTTTCTCCATCCCATCCTGAGTGTGAACCAAACTTCTTGTACCCCACAAATGGTGACCCTCGGAGATTCGCACTCACACAGGATGGAGGAGAAACTGATCACTCTCCCAGTCTTCAAGCAACATGGAAGACTGGCTTATCCACGCAGCAGCAGCTCTCATCGGCTCTACAGCTACTGTCTCTACACCGCAGGTTAGACACCCTAGAGCAGCACTGCAACTCTAAGCAGACACCAGCTCCTCTTCCTGCCCCAAGCACCACGTTCTACCGACCCCAGCACACCCGTCCTGCCTCAGACGCCGCCCCCGGCCCAGCAGTACCCCCTGCCGCTCCTCCTGATGCAGCCCCTGCTCCCGACGCAGCCCATGCGCCTGAGTGCGGAGCCACACACCCCTCTTTACTCCCTGCTAATGTCCTGCACCCTGCTGCTGTTGTGGACCCAGCTGCTGTCACGAGCCCTCATCCGCTTCTGCTGACGCAGCCCCTGACCCAAGCCCACACACCCCAGCAGGCGCATCTGACGACTTTGTACCTGCCGTGAGGGAAGCACAACATTCATCGCCTCCACACACCCTTATTCTCCCTCTCTACTCCCACAGATATTGTGTATCTACACAGTTGTCTCCTCTAGCGGCCGGCTCATCCATGCCATCGCCGTTATGGCTCACATGTGGCATGCACCGCCCGTTCTGCCTCACATGTGCCATGCAACCCTGCAGACAAGTCTCCTACACCGCCTGGAGGGATGAGGGAGTATTATAGTGGATTTCTCCCCTACAAACGCTGTTTGTCGCCGAGTAGCCGACCCCGCGAAACCGCCAAAAAACATTTTTCGTAAGGTCCGTACATGAATTTTTGTCATTTTTAGCGACCCCGCAAAAAATGCATTTTTCGTAAGGTCCAGACATAAATTTTTGTCATTTTTGGCGAACCCGCAGAAAATGAAATTTTCGTAAGGTCCGGACCTGTCGTTCCGGCACTTTTTGCGAACCAGCCAAAAAAGCATTTTTCGTAAGGTCCGGACATGAATTTTTGTCATTTTTGGCGACCCCGCAAAAAATGCATTTTTCGTAAGGTCCGGACCTGTCGTTTCGGCACTTTTGGCGAAACCGCCAAAAAAGCATTTTTCGTAAGGTCCGGACATGAATTGTTGTCATTTTTGGCGACCCGTAAAAAATGAAATTTTCGTAAGGTCCTGACCTGTCGTTTCGGCACTTTAGGCGAAACCGCCAAAAAAGCATTTTTCGTAAGGGCCGGACATGAATTTTTGTCATTTTTGGCGACCCGCAAAAAATAAAATTTTCCTAAAGTCCGGACCAGTCGTTCCGGCACTTGGCGAAACCGCCAAAAAAACATTTTTCGTGGGGTCCGGACATGAATTTTTGTCATTTTTGGCAAACCCGCAAAAAATGAAATTTTCGTAAGGTCCGGACCTGTTGTTTCGGCACTTTTGGCGAAACCGCCAAAAAAGCATTTTTCGTAAGGTCTGGACATGAATTTTTGGCGACCCCGCAAAAAATGAAATTTTCGTAAGATCCGGACCTGTGGTTCCGGCACTTTTGGCGAACCGGCCAAAAAAGCATTTTTTGTAAGGTCCATCCATGAATTTTTTTAATTTTTGGCGACCCCGCAAAAAATGCATTTTTCGTAAGATCCGGACCTGTCGTTCCGGCACTTTTGGCGAACCGGCCAAAAAAGCATTTTTTGTAAGGTCCGGACATGAATTTTTGTCATTTTTGGCGACCCCGCAAAAAATGCATTTTTCGTAAGGTTCGGACATGAATTTTTGATCATTTTTGGCAAACCCGCAAAAAATGAA